AAAAAAAAAAAAAGCAAATTCAAAGCTTTGACATGTCCCCTGATCAATAAGCTGGGAAATGAACAAAAAAGCCCAGAGAAAAAATTAACGACCAAAGGTCTGTCCGGAGACAGCCACCCGTCAGCGTTTTTCTTCCCTCTTTCCCACGGGTCACTGTGCTGAGCGTTTGGCAGCAAGAAAGACGGCTGCACGTACCACACTGTTCAGGGGCGTCCACCGTCCCCGGGCCGAGCACCACAAGGCCCACAAGGAGGGCTGAGGCGCAGGGGCGCCCTCGGGTAGGGGCGAGACCCCCAGGGGCAGGAGGCTGGGAAGCTGCTCCAGGCCCACATCCTTGAGGGGCAGGGGGCGGGCCACAGGTCCCGGGCTCAGCTGAGAGCTGCTTCCCCACCAACCCGCTCCCCACGTTCTGCTCACTTCCTCTGCTCTACCTGCGGTGTCCCGCCCAGCTGAGACAAGACTTGAGGGAGCCGGCGCGGCTGCCCACCACGCCCGGCGGGCCTCGGCGGACTGAGAGCAGGTTGCTGGGCGGTGAGCTCCCGCCAGCTGGAGCACCGGCACCGAGAGAGAAGGGGGCCCCCTGGTGGCGCAGCGGGTGAAGGCACGGCACTGCCCAGCTTAGAGACAGCTGCCTCAGCCGAGTCCCATCCCCTGTGGGGAGGCACCCCCAGGGCTGGGCAGACCTCCCCTGTCGCCCCCTGCTCCCCTCAGTGGATCCGCCTGTTCTGCTCCCCACTCTGTCTCTGGGGAAGCGGCTCACCGCCCCTGCACTTCTGGCCTGTGCCCCAGTTCTGAATGCACACAAATAAATCTTTAAAAAAAAAAAAGAAAGAAAGAAAGCGTGTGGCTCGCAACTGAAAAGAGACTCACGTGCAACTTCCCTCCCTCCCACCCCCACCGCCTGCTCTGTCTCCGGAGGGTGGCGAGCGCGGACGCCCACCCTGGTGTCCTCGGGCGTGAGCCGAGCCCGCGGTGGCCGCACGCCCGGGAGCGTCCCCGTCACTCACCGGCCGTCACGGTCTTTTGGAACAGGATGGGGTTGGCCACCAGGACCAGCAGCAGGGGCAGGTAGGTGGTGACGTAGTGCGGGATGGCGTGCCGCAGCCCCCGCTCACACCTGAGGACGGGAAGCCAAGTCACTGCCAAAGCCCCTGGGCCCGGACCAGGCCTGCGCCCGGACAGACGCCCAGGCAGACCGGCCCAAGGCCAGCGGCCGCTCTCCCCCCGCCCGTGCCCGGCCGGCCCCACGCACAGGTTCAGAGCTAGCTCCTCCCAGGTCACCTCCCCCTCACCCTGGAGGGTCCGACGCCCCTGCTCAGCCGGAGGGGCCGGTCGGGGCCAGGGCCGGGCGTGTGAAGCCGCAGCCGCACGGAGGGCACACCTGGAGCACGGGCGCAGAGGGCACACCTTCACGCCACTCACGCGGCACCGCAGGGCGGGGGGCGGCCCAGGGTGCGTGGTCCGGCGCTCAGGTGGCGGCTGTGCTGGGGGGCGGCCCCGCTCTGCGGCCCGCTGGAGGGGCCGGCGGCAGGGGGCGGGCGCGGCTTACCTGGTCACGGAGGGCCAGTACAGCATGAGCACGCCCTCCACGCACAGCAGGCCGGCCAGGCCCCAGGCCATGATGTGGTAGAGCAGCAGGGTGCTAGGGGAGAGGCAGAAGGCGCCGCCTGAGACAGCAGCGGGAGGCCGGGGCCGACCCTCCCGGACCAACGACCAGCTCCCAGAACCAGGCCGCGCGCCGTCCGCGGCCAGAAGGTGGAGCCGCACCCGAGGCAGGTGGTCGCTGCCCGGCCGGCCCCCTCCCAGCCCGGGAGCAGCCCCCCGGCCGTTGCGGCAGACAGGCCTCTTCCGGACAGCTGTCCCGCAGGCAGAACAGCCCCTGGGCCGCGGCCTCCTGGCCACTGGCCATGCTGGAGAGGCCCTGCAAGGCCTGCTGCCCCGCGGAGGCCAGCCCCGCCCTCCCACACCAAACACAGGGACCTTCCGGCCCAGGAGGCAGGGAGGTGCTGGCTGTGCCACCCACCAGAGCAAAACCACTCCTTCCCTGCTGCCCACCGCTCCTCCCCGTGCGACCCTGCAGAGCTGCACGGCCAAGGCCTGCACGGGCGGGCGTGTGTGGGCCCGAGACCCTGCCCGCAGGGGAGCCGCACGGGGCCCGCCCGCCTCGCCTCGGCCTTCCCAGACATCACACTCGCATGCAGGCGGTGGCCGCAGCCCTCTGCCCGGTAGGGGCCGCCCAGGTACCCCCACCCCACGGCGAGCGGCGCGCAGACGAGGCGGACAGTCACATGGCACGGTGCCCAGCAGTGCAGTTAGGAAGCCCTGGGGCGCACTAGCAGGTCGCCCAGCCCGGATGACGCTGTGCCGCGCCTCTGAGACCTGCACCAGCGGGCATCGGCTGCAGGGTGCCACTGATCGGAAACATGCAGGTCACGCCAACCCTGGACAGAGGTGGGACTGCGGGAGGGGAGAACGAGAGGGACTGAAAATTACCACCAGGGGCCCTCGGGGGACGAGGGACAACGTCACGGTCGGGCCTCCCTGATGGACGTACTCCGGGGGGCTAAGCCCCGGCACCTTCAAGCTACCAGCAGCCACCGCAGTGTGAGTTCAAGCCCCGGCCAGGGAGCTGGCCAGGGCCCTCCCCGGCGGCGCAACAGGTTGAAGCGCAGCACGAGGAAGCGACCACGTGTACTGCAGCATGCCTCTGACCCCGACCGCGAGCTGACCCACGTGGCACAGCCGACGCCTCCCGTCTCGCCCGCCGCTCCCCTCAGCAGCGCACTTCATCCGTCTGCCTGTTCCGCTCCCCGTTCTGTCTCTGGGGAGTCCTCTCCCCCGCCCGCCTCTGGCCTGTACCCCAGTTCTTGTGTGCATAAGTAAATCTTTCAAAAATATATAAAAGAGCGAACGAGAACGTCACCGTGGCGCGGGGTGCAGAATCCTGCCAACACACTGGAAACGCGCTGTGCTTTCACCAGGTCAGCTCAATAAAGCAGTTACCCTACGAGACAAGGTCTCTAGCCACAGGGGCCCGGCTGAAAGGGAACACGAACGGGGTGGGCAGGCGCCCTCTGGCGTGGAGCCAGGAGACCTGGGCTGGCCTGGCCCTGGGCGCCCGCTGGGCGGGCACGCAGGCGCCCAGGCCCTGCCAGCCATCAGCAGAGCTCCCTCGGCACGCGCGGGCGGCGGCCACTGGCCTCCAGCACGGACCCTCCCGCCGCGTCCACCCGCCGCACCTCGCTCTCCTGGCTGTCCCAGCCAGTGGGCGCTGGGCGGTAATTCCCAGCCAGCCCCACACAGCGCCCTCAGGCCTGGATTCTACGCACAGCCCTGTGGCCACGCAAGCATGCGTTTTCTTTCTCTGCAGCTTAAGCTACGGTATACATTTCTTACGTCAGTGTCGACGCTTCTAGACGTTGCCCAGGTCCAGATATTTTTTGGATTACCTCAGATTTAGAACCTGTCTTCCGGCCTTTTATAAACATGCGCTGCCCTCCGCAGTTCCTGGGGGGGAGGCGGCCGGCGCGTTTCCGACGCTCCAGACGGCGTGCGGGGCCTCCCGCCACACCACCGAGGCCCTGCCGTTCCCCTCGAGGGGCCAATAAACAAATACCTCAGCCCTGCAGACCTCCGGACCACCAGATAGGCGTCGACCGCGTAGCAGAACAGCCACCAGAAGCAGGCGCTGTACAGCAGCTGGATCCACATCTGCAACGGGACGGCCGGCGTCAGACTCTCGCCAACCAGCACCAGACCGCCCAGCCGTGACGCGAGCTGGCGGCCGCAGGCTTCCTCTGCCGTCCAGAGGCGGCACCAGACAGGCTGCAGGGGGCCCTCCCGGG